TGTTACTATCTCTGAGTAGCTCTTACCAACAGGAGGGAAAATCGCCTCACTCCCTCACTCCCTCCCCCTCTCCTCTCCCTCCCGCTTTTATTTTCCAGGCCGGCCCGCTCTGACAGCTCCAGCGTGGTTGGATTGACGCGTACGACAAGTCCTTGTGACACTTGCTTCATTACTCGTTCACTTTGGAGCCGCAGGATTCCCTCGGGATAAAAAAAGAACACACCAACAGCCCGCGGCTCGCAAGAATCCGGTCGAAGCTCGACGTTTCGGCACCAGAGCTGGTTGTGGGAAAAGTGGGTCTTTTTGTAGGGAAATGAGATCCTATAATAATTGGGTCACTCAATCCACGACTGTTTGTGGGACACTGCTGGGAGCAATCGGCTGCCACGTTTCACCCACAAAATACATGTTTTAGGCACTGTATCGAATGCAAGGATTATTATTCTATTATTATTACCAACAGGCTGCTGAATCTGTGCTGCTCTACCATTTGGATACCAAGTGATGCTTGCTGTCCCATGCCTCTTCCGTCTAGTGATTAATTGTTAATTTACTACATACACTGGCGGCAAATTGCCTGACAGTTGGCAAAGCGTTTGCAGAAAGGATTGTGTTTTGCGAGCGAACATTTACAGGATTTATCGATAAGGTTCATGTTGTGCTTGTTGCTTTGCCAGCAGGTGGCAAATAGCCAGAAATATTCACAGTCCATTCCCTCTGGGGGTAGGGTTTACCGCAGCTGGTTTTGGCACAGCCTAGGTCTTTTAGCTTTTACGGAGCTACGGATAAATCTACAAATTAAATACCGAAATACGGCAATCAGTCGCCATAAGGTCGCCACAGACACCTTCATGCACTTACTGGCCCCATCATTTGTCCCCAAACTGTTTGTTATATTGAAACGAGAAGGTCAGCCACGTGGGTTGAGGAGAACAGGAGAGAAGCCGCGATGACTAGTCTTCAGGTGACGGCAACATTGTTTTCGTTGAAACACATACGTTCAAGACTGAGGTGGATAGATATTGGTTAGGTCAGGGTATCAAGGGATACGGGGCAAAGGCGGGTAATTGGAGTTGAGGTACAGATCAGCCATGATCTTATAGAATGGCAGAACAGGCTCAAGGGGCTGAATGGCCTCCTCCTGGGTCTATGTTTCTATGTTTGTGGTAACAGGTGGCAGCTCGGACCTCTCCGCCCATCCGAATTTGAAAACATCATCTTTTCCTTCTCCTTATTCCAGGGCTCACGGGGGAACTTTGCATCCGCTTTTAATGCAGGAAAAAGTAAGCACATCCAGCTCTATTTCCATCACCGTCTCCTGATCTGCTGGACTTAGTCCATATTTGTTTTCTTAAAATAGAATCATAGAATATTACAGCACAGAAGGAGGCCATTCAGCGCATCGTGGCTGTGCTGGCTCTTTGGAAGAGCTCCCCAATCAGTCCCACGTCCCCGCTCTTTCCCAGAAAAATGGCAATATTTTAAAATCAAATAATATTTGGGGAATTTCTTTCTCAAGTTCACCTCCACACCTGCACTTGGCAGTTCCTATTTGCTATTCGGGTTCTGCTTTTCACTCAGGAGAGCATTGCTGCATTCTTACTGTGTTCTCTATAAAACCAATAACCTCAGACTTGCTCAATTATTCTGGTTGACTGCCACCGATACAAATTGCCAAGATTAATTCAAGTTTAGGTAAGACTGTCATTGCATTGGCTGACTGGAATACTATAATAAAAATAATAATAATAATCCTTGCATTTGATACAGCGCTTTATCACATCTTCAATACATCGCAAAGCGCTTCACAGAATGTGCTGCAAAGTGAATTAACTGTATATTTTGTGGGCGAAACACAGCAGCCAATTGCGCACAGCAGCGTCCCCACAAACAGTCGTAGATTGAAGTGACCAAATTATTGATTTTGATTATTTTTTCTAAAGGGTTTATTACCCCCGGAAAACACTGCCATAGAATGCTATGTGTGTGTCAAAGAGAGAGCTGAGAATCTGCCAAAGCCTTTTTCATTTAACAGGCAGCTTTGGTTAATGTCCAGACACCAGTAACAAAAGTGCTCCTACATTTCAATTTTCCTTTATGTTATGTGATCATAGCATCAATTAAGCCGTTTGCACTTGTGGCACTGGTGATGTATTATTAATGTATGATAGGTGCTTTGTCATTAAGCCCATGGAAAATGGAAAAAAAAAGCAACAGAGATGGGAAAAGCACAATAATTATATTTCAGCTGTATCTAGTAATTATATACACTCGGGTTCCTATTGCCAGTTCCGGCACATTTAACCGAATAGAAGAATTACTTTCCAGGGTTAACTTCTGGATCCTTGAAACAATTATTCTTCCATTTCGCTGTAAATATATTTTCCAAGCAGTGCAGGCAATAATTATATCTTCTACTAAAAACGGACAGGGTTTTACTGCATTGTTTTAATGTACGGCAACAACAACAACAACAACGTGCATTTATATAGCGTCCTGGAACACTTCACAGCGGTGGAGTCTGACAACGAGCCGGGGGTGTACAGAGACGGGTATACATTTAAGAGGTAGGTTCCCCTTTCATGCGTCTGAATTAAACGCACATCAGAAGCTCCTGCCAGTTTATAGTAAAATCTCCTAAGGGTTAAACTTTCATGTTCTTCACGGGGGTGGGGTGGTGAGGGTGGGGGGGTGAGCGGAGTCTCCGTGTAGCTGAGCTGGTGCCAAGTGATAAGCTTGGAAAGCACGCAATGTCGCAATCAATTCAACCCCATGACTGTGGTAGTCTTAGTTGTCTCGTTCCTGAGCCAGGTGAGTCCACAGGTGTTCTGGGCACCTCTGATAGCAGACCAGCCAGCCTGGCTCATCAGCAGAACACTAGAGGGACAGACCAGTCACTGGGAGCAGAGATTCTTCCCACTTGGCTTCCGTTCACCCTGCAAACCAAAGCCCTATCAGGTAGAGGGGTCCTCGCTGGGCAAACAGTGGGAAGCTTGGCAGCCAGTGCTCTTAAGGACAGGTGCCATCCTTCGGATGAGATATAATACAGAGACCTCACCTGTGCCCTGGTCAGGTGGTTGTTAAAGATCCCACGGCGCTATTCAGAAAGGAAGAGAGTCTCTATCTCTCGTGGTGTCCTAGCTGACAATCCCCCAGATAAATTGGTCATTCACTTCACAGCTATTTGTGGGCCATAGCTTGTGTTCTAGCCAGTGAATGAATATGCGAATGAAGAAGTATCTTAATCCATTTTGATCTCTTCCTTCCAGAAACCCACTCTATCTTTATCTCTCCAGATGTCCATACACAGAAGGGTTGACAATGAAGGGACTGGAGTGTTTTTTCCAGATTTGATTCCAATGAGTGGCTCGGGAGCATCAAATGGCAGATTATCCGTTTATATCCATAAACATATGGACCTTGGCTCGTGTGAGATGATGAAGGGATTTTCTTTTGATTAGCTCACGTTGCTACAGTCAGTAACATTTTCCCAGCAACAGAGAATCAGTCACATTCACTCACCAAAGTCCGGGGGTAATAATCCCTCCAAAAAAAGAATGTGGTCGCTCAATCCACGACTGTTTGTGGGACACTGCTGAGCGCAATTGGCTGCCACGTTTTACCCAGAGCATACACAGTCAATCCACTTAACAATCTATATTCTTTGAAGCCCTTCGAGATGTCTCAACGAAGGGATAAGGTGTCGTACTAAATGCAAGGATTATTATTATTATGATGATGATGATGATGATGTTCCCCTCAAATGTGCCCGAGTCACAAATCGATCTCGGATATGGACTCCCATTCCCTTCATACTGATGGTATTTGACCTCATTGCCCCGCTGCTTATCTAAACACAACGTTGAGCTGAGTGCAGTGTAGATCAGCACCAGATCACTTTGACACCACATCGCTCTGCCAACCAATTCTCTGAGCTGGAAAACCCGGTGACCTGAGGAATTCGCAGTTGTCAGCTGCTAAAGATTTTAGGAGTCTGTNAAAAAAAATGTGACATTCAAGCAATGGTATTATACGGAGGCAGTCAATCATGGGTAATATGGAAAAAAAGGCCAGACCTACAGAGTGGAAAATGTGAACAGACATTATCACAATGCAATATATCCGAGAGGAAACACCCAACAACAGGTTGGCAGGCAAAGAGCCCACACAGCACGAATTGCAGCTTTGAATCAATTCCGCTCGTCTGTTGGTGTAGATCGAGATCCCACACCTGTGCTATGTTGTTAATTTAACATGGCATTAAATAAATCGGCCAGCGCTGACTTTTGTAACCGAACAAGAGACAACGCTTTATAGTTTGTATTCCAGAGGAAGATATGGATCAGAAAGTAAAACTGAGTTGATCACAGGCAGTGCCAACATTGCAACGCTGCTTGTTTTAAATAAAGAAACTGTGATTTTAATAATTATAATAATAATTCTTGCATTTGATATAGCGCCTTATCACATCATTGAGACGCCTCAAAGTGTTTTGCGGGATTTTACTGTAAAGTGTAGTAACTGTATTTGTAGGCAAACGCGGCAGCCAATTTGTTCACAGCAACGTCCCACAACCAGCCATGACGTGAGTGACCAAATTTGACGTGGAGGAATGTTGGCCAGGACACCAGGAGAAACTCTCATTTCTTTGAGAGTGCTACCAACTGAGTCAGGCTGGAGGCCAAAATATCTACCTGGAGAATGAGCGCGTGATTTATTTGTGGGTGCAGCACCCATCCAAGGATTGCCTTGCTCAGAAATCTCCTTCTATCTTACTGACTTTTGCACAACTGATTCACAGCCACAGGATAAAGATAACTTGTCTGTGGTTAACACACATTCTCATTCCCCCCCCCCACCCACTCCACCGGCCCTCATCTGCTTTGTCAGGCTGTTAATCCATTTCCCACGTGCTCCCTGACCCTCCTCTATATCTGTCTCCCTGTTGGACCTGCTGTGATTCTGCCGTGATTTGTCCAGAACCACATCACAGGAGACAGGATGACTTTAAGGGTGAGTATACACACAACATTTATACTATTTCCAGCTCCACAAGTTGAATTGCTTACCGATCTGAAGAGGTACCTCATCCCTCAGTTTTTACATTACCATAGATGGGTAATGGTTGAAACAAAATGCATTTTGCAGCATAAACCTCTCACAGTGTTTACAGCCTCAGGTGCCTGGCACAGAGTCTCTGCGACAAGGGAATCTTAGATTGGAATGAGAAGTAGTTTGTTTTAAAAGTCCAGCAAAGGCAGAGGACAACATTGCAGATAATAATAATCATGATAAAATAATCTATGCATTTGATATGGGTCTTATCACGTCGTTGAGACGTCTCAAAGCGCTTCACAGGATAAACTGTCAAGTGAATTGACTATATTTTGTGGGCGAAACGCAGCAGCCAATTACGCACAGCAGCGTCCCCACAAATAATCGTGGATTAAGTGACCAAATAATTATTTTTTGTTTTAAAAGGGATTATTAATCCGGGAAAGCAATCCGCCAATCAACTAACAACCGGGTTCCTACTTACTGCAAGGTAAACCGAGACGTGCGAGTAATGAAACTTGTCTGGGAATTGATAAGACTTTATATCAAATGCAAGGATCTTGTGGGTTTATATCCACAGTGGTGATGAAACACTTTAACACCAGTTAGTTAAAGAGCACCATTAACTATAGGGCTGTACTCATAGCGATATAGCTGAATAGCTCTAAAGCTCATTGCGGAGACAAAGTATTTCTCAACCATCTGTGGCCTCGGAATGTTTATTTATGGGATGCCAATTCCATCCTAAGTCACGTCCATTCCCCTGCCTGCTCAACTGTGAATGAAAGCAAGGATGTCCTCAGGCTCCTGTACCAAGCTAGAGACAACAAACGAGCGAGGTTTCAGATGCTGCAAACTGGAGCCAGGCACATTCAGAATTTAATTCATTGCCTCGTTCGAGGATATTTGAATCTGCGGAAACACGCACATATTAGGAAGCGTAGAACCATAGAAATATACAGACAGAAGAAAGCCCCTTGAGCCTGTGCTGTCTGTCTGAAAAAGCCATCCGAAAAAGAGAAGGGAGATTCTACCCGAGATAAAATTGGCAGTTTATCCTGTGAAGTGCTTTGGGACGTCCTCTCGACGTGAAAGAAGATGTATCAAATGCGAGGATTTTTTTTATCCATTTAATCAAATTCTCCTGCCTCCCCCCCACCCCTCCCTCCCTCCCTCCCTCCCTATAAACCCTTTAATATTTCTCCTTTTCAGATATTGTATTTACCAAATTTCTCTTTTAAATCCTAATATGGATTCTGCCTCAACCAAGGTTCCAGGTAGGGCATTCTTACGTCGAAACAACCTTCCGTGTTTAAAATGAAAATTCTCATAACCTCTCCAGCTACACGGAATATCAATGGATTTTCTTGCATCAAAATATTTTGGCTGCGACAACTTGCAACTTAAGCTATTCATCTCTACCGTTGTAATATACTAACCGTGATTTGTGGACTCTGGGAACTCAAGGAACCGCATATTTTCACAAATATCCCGAGGTTTATTATGCACATTTCTTTACCATCAAATTCAACTCTCCCTGAGAGCGGGGAAGCTTTCTCGAGCAATGTCATTGCTGTTATATTGTTTGTGTTTTCATAGGATAACTGAGCACTGTATTGGCAATCCACCTGAGAGGGGAAAGCCTTATTTTTTTTGAGTCTGGTGAATAGAGAAATGGGTGTCTTTAATAACATTGCAATCATCTCCATTTGTGTTGGGCAGTTTGAAGCTGTGTATCCTGAAGGCCTGTGTCCTGGCTGGAATGTTACACTCAAGGGTGAACCCACCTCAGAAGCCAACAGGTAATTGGAAGCAGAACCCAGAACAGCCCACCTGGTACATTGGATACCTGGTAATAGTGACTGCCACATTCCACAGGACCTATAAAGCATCTTTCACTTAGGAAGAGGTCTCAAAGCACTTTACAGAGAAGGAACGGGAGCCCAAACTGGGTGGGAGATAAGGGGGCTATCAAACCAATCTTGACTGAGGATTCGGAAATGCGAACAGACACAGTTGCAATACCAATCCCTGGAAAACTTTCAATTTCCGGCCTGAATCCCAGCTCTAATTCTCTAATCCACATTCCGGTCTCTGAGAAAGGATTGTCAGGATTTGACCAACACTTTGTGTCAAATTCACATATGCTGCCGGAGGGGTTTGGGTCTGTTTATGTTATCAGTGCGATCTCTGTCTGACTGTCTTTCATTCCGTCGCTTAGTCTCTCCCCTTTTCCTCTCGGAGGGCTTTGAGCTCATAATCATACTCCAATACAACAACAACAACTTGCGTTTATATAGAGCCCATCACACAGGGTAGCGCCCCAGAGCGCTTCAATACAATGCTGGGCATGTGCTGCATTGTTGCAGGTAATGAAATGCGAGACTGTTCAAGTGGACATTAAATATCCCATTGCACTGTTCCCAGTCTATCTGTCCCTCTGCCTCCCTCGCTCTCTCTTTGGCTCATTGTCTTCCGAGCTTTGGCTTATTTTTCTCCGCGCGTCTCTGTCTAAAGGGTCAGTGTCATTTCTTCCTCTTTCTCTTGGCTGTTGAAGACTTTAAATTGAAGTGACGTCAGTGAACACCCAGTTGTTAGCAGGTATAAAGTAAAGCTATCGGCAAAACTTCACATTTAACAGTAGCTGTCATTATCTGACACATTCATTAAGGTCATAATCCGATAAGAAAACATTGGAGGTGGCAACTGTCACCCATGGAGATAACAATAATAATAATCCTTGCATTTGATGATTCAGTGCCTTATTTTTGAAAAAAAATTTGAAGGGATTTTTAACCCTTTTTTTGGTATCATCCTTCCTTCAGCGCCACACTCCATTGCAGCATCAAGCAGGTTCTTGTGAACACAACTCAACAGGGCGATGGTTGTAGCTTCACTGAAGCTTGTCCTTGGCTATCTATTGATTGCCACGATGATCAATACGCTGAAATATGACTCTGCATTCTCAAAGAGTGATTTCACCATTTTTGCAGGCTAAGAGCTCTGTGGTCGACTGCAAGGTGATAAACATAATCCATAGGATGTTCTGCTTATCTTCAGTCCCACTAACACCGTTCTCTGCTTTTATTCAGGAAGCTTCAATCCTTTTTCTTTTTTTGCAATCTGCTCATCCAGCTTAGTGCAGGAGACCAGAATATAAATGAAGTGTCTGTGGCTTAGACTTCATATCCACCGAAAATTAAATATTTGGAACCTCGGCTTTTATTCATTCATCTCCCCCTCGATCACTGCGATTGGGTAGCTCTGCTCACCCACCATGTTGATGCTGTGTGGCTACAACTGGAGTGAAAGTGTGCATCAAATAGGGTTCATTTGGTCCGTTTCCTCCGCTCCGCACACTCCGGCCTGCTCCACGTCCCCCCACACCCCCAGCCCGGCCCAAGCCACCCCACCATCAGCAGTCGGGCCTTCAGCTTCTCTGCCCCCACCCTCTGAAACTCCATCGCACATTCCTTCATCTCTCTCCCTCCCTTGCCTCCACCCAGTCTATCTCGTTCAGAACAAGAAGGGAGAAAGTTGAAAGAGTGAAGAGAAAAGAAAAGTACAGCTTATCCAAACTAATATGGGAATCATATAAGCGCTCAGAGAGGGAGAGTAAGATTAATAATAGTGCCTGACTGTCAAGGAAGGTTTGGTATCACAGGACATGAATCTATTCAGACAGGTTCCTGCTGTCACCTCAGTCAGACAGTCAGTCAGCAGATGACGTGACTGTGAAGGAGGAGGCGGTGGGGGGAGGCAGAAGGCAATCACATACTCACCCAACATCCAGACATATGTGGACTTTTCAACAGGTTCAGTAGCAATCTGGTGAAATAAATCATGGTACATTTTTATCCTTCCTCACCCAAGAGTACTGAGGTCAATGGTTAGTGATCTGTGTAACTTGTTCTTAATGGGAACAGATTAACTGTGTTCATTAGCAACAATTGATCCTGTGGGTGGGAGCTTTCGAGTGTGTGTGGCTCAGTATTGCCATTGAGGGAATGGTTTGGTTGCTCTTAAGCCAGGTGATGGGTTTCCGCTTGTGTCAGACACCTGGCTGACCAAAAAAAAGAGGGAATGGTAGCAATACTCCTGTTAGGTTGCTCCTAAAGAAAGAACCACCCAACAGACCTACAGTTCCACCTGGTCTCAGCCTGTAAGGCTATTTTCTCTCAAGCTTTATGATTCAGTCTTAAATTCGGCTCAAATTCAATCTTCATTTTCCGCAGTTCTTAAATAGATGCCGACTCCTTCTGAATCGAGCCTGAAATTGAAGGATTTTGCACAATTCTGACCCGTCTCACGTAGTCTCAAGGCTAAGACTCGGTGGAATTTCGGTTGACACGCAATAACGACAACTTGTATTTATATAGTGTCCCTCACGCAATGAATATGGCTTCTGTCTTGTCAACATTGAGCTGTAGGAGGCTCCACACGATCAGAAAGTGGAGATGATGGTTTAAACGTTCTCTGACTGTGCTTTCTCTCCTGGCAGATTTGACATAAATTTTCTGTGCGACAAAAGCGAACAGATTGCATTCCACTTTAACCCACGCATCACCGAATCAGAGTTGGTGTGCAATTCCAAACTGGCCAACAAATGGGGCAAGGAGGAGAGGACACCATTCTGCCCATTAGAGGCAGAAGAGCCATTCCAGGTAATAATAAAAATAATAATAATAATAATCCTTACAATTGATACAGCACCTCGTCACATCTCGAAGACATGATAAGGCGCTACATCCAATGCAAGGATTATTATTATGAAAACTCCCCAACATTGGCATGCCAATACACTTCAACATGAATCTTTACTGCCAACGGATGCCTTTACACTTCCAATCTTTTTTTTCTAACTGTGATCTTGTTTCCTGGCAGATGGAGATTTCTTCCGATGAGGAATATTTCCACGTCTTTATCGACGGAAACAAAACATGTCAGTTTAGACACCGCACCGATGAGCTCAACTCCATTACTAAGCTGCAAGTGCTGAATGACATCAACATTTCCTCGGTTGAAATTGCCAAAAAGGTCTTTATGTGAGGTCATCCCGGGGACGAGGAGCCCAGCTGCCCACCGCAGTTAAACCCGGAGAACTGCGGACGTTTGAACATTGGTACATCACAAAGCTCGGACCTAACCCGCGACAATGAACTGCGAGCTTTTCTTTGCGCTTGACTGAACCCTAGGTCTCAATAAGACAAAGTGATTTTAATGCAGAATTATAGAAAGTAGGAACAGGAGGAGGCCATTCAGCCCCTCGAGCCCGTTCCACCATTCTATTAGCTCAGGGTAATCTAATCTATACCTCAACTTTAGTTACCCACATCCCTTGATACCCTGACCTGGCAAAAATCTATCCACCTCAGTCTTGAAACTGCGAGTGGATCCAGGAATAATCCACAGCCTTTTGGGGAAGGGAGAGAGTTCCAGATCTCCGTGACTTTCCACTAATTCAGCTCCAAACTAACCCAGGGTCAATGCACACTCCTATCACCTTGTGCGTTTCAAACTTCAGTAAATATACAGACAACTTGTCAGCACTGTGAGTAAATTCTCCATTGAATGAAACGACTTCAGTAGCAGGTTTTTTTTTGATGGGTGGGGGGGAGAGTGAAGAATCTCCTGGCTAGGTTAAAGTTTAAAAAACAGTCAATACAGCATGTTGACTTATCGGCTTTATACATGACTTCAAGAGCATTGACGAAATAATATCAGTATTTGTAAATTGTGTTGTTACATCAGATATGAAATGAAATAATTTGCATTGAATTAAACACAGAATCCAACTATTATGTGTGTGTGTGTGTGTGTGTGTGTGTGCATGGGTTTGACTCCACCATATCCATGTTAGCTTCGTGTTAACCCGATAAAACATTTTTGCACGCGGGAAAAAAAATGATACCCGTTGACCTCGAAACCAGGTTGGCCACAAAACACGTGCTATTGCTGCATGTTCTCGTGTTTTAATCTGCTATGATAGCCGCATTAATAAACCACAACTTTCCGATTCTGCTGAAATCGATCAGTTTCAATAGGAAAAAAAAATACTTTAAATACCCACCGAGGACCCACTTGTTTTTTTTTTTTGCTTAGAATATGATGATGACAAAAGGTTTCTGATCCGAAGGATGGCACCTCCAACAATGCAACGTCCTTCCAACGCGAGAATGGAGCGTCAGGCCGGCATGGCGAGTTCAAGGTGCCCAAAACAGGGGCGCAATCTCCAGACCCGTGGAGAACCTGCTACTGATTGAGCCATGCTGACATATTGCAGTGCGAGATCATTGATTCCAGATTTGGTTCTGACGTATTCGTTGCTTAAAATAACGTGTAATGCATGCAGTAAGCGCTGTACCTGTCTTTTACTGTCTGATAAAATTATCTACAAGGCATTTGGGTTTAAGCCTAAAGTCATGCAGCTTTAATGCTGAGATCCATCTCCTCGTTCCTTCCTTCAGCAGCAATGCTTTGTGAACGTTCCCTTTCAACCTGCTCATCGGCTCACCAGTGGACGAGGACAGGCGAACCAAGTTGCTAACTGCGGAGTGGGAAAGTGCACACACTTCAGGGAATTTTCTGAGCAGAGGGAGCGATGACAGTCTGGCACAGATAGGGAGGAGAACCGCACAGATAAGTGGGTAGATTAAAAAGAAAAACACTACGGGTATGAAATAGGGAACGCAGCTGGCAAATGTATAGAATAATTAATACTAATAATAACCCTTACGTTTGATACAGCACCTTATCACGTCTTCGAGACGTCTCAGAGCGCTTCGCAGAATATACCGTCAAGTGAATTGACTGTGTAATTTGTGGGCGAAATCCTCAAAGCATAAAACGTCTTTTGACTGTATGAAAGCAATATACAGTAACAGATGTGGAACGTAAGAATGGCAGAGGTGAGAAAAGGGGTGTTCAAGTCCACTGGAACTCATCCCTCAAGGAACAACGTATATTTAAAGATCAACACAAACAAAATGTCAGACATTTTGCTCTGCTCAAACCAGATTGCCAACAACAAAGTTTTGAAATACGACCACAATATCCTGGGACACAAAATTTCTCATGGTCTCAGCCTGAAGACGCCTTCTTAAAAAGACCCACCAGCAAAAATGGCGTCCAAATTGAGACTTGAATCTCAGTATTATCCAATATTGTACGGGTCTTAAAACTAAAACCATTCTTAATGTCAAGCGTCTGGAGCCAAAAATAACCATTCTGGTCTTGGTTCCTGCGGAAACCCAATCAAATAGCTATACCCAGTAACTGTTGCCGACTAGCTTTAGTTAGCAGCAATAAAGCATGTCATGCACGTTTAGAATGGTGTTTACTTTCGTTTTGCTGCCTTACGATAACCATCTTGGCTCTGTTGGCAGTATTCGCTTGATTTAACTTAGCCCTTTTGGCCAGACTTTGCCTTGTTTTTTTTACTCTAGAGACTGCTATTAAAATTCACATGTGCCCCTGACATTTGCTCTCGGTGTCTGAGAGTGTCTCTGATATGACATGTGATAGGTAAAGTGCAAATGTTCCAGCAAGTGGGATGTGTTGCCACGAGGCATTGCATCTGCAGAAGAAATGCTGCCGACTGCAAAACATGACATTAAAAAATGTAAATTGCCGTATGTCAGTGAATAGAAGGTAATGTTGAAATATAACCAGGATCTTTTGGCATCCCATTAATTAAACTTAAGATAAATAACAATAATAATAATCCTTGCATTTGATACAGCACCTTATCACGTCTTCGAGAGTACTTCAAAGTGCTTCACAGGATACACTGAATTGAATTGAAGTAAATTGACTGCACATTTTGTGGGCGAAATCCAATTTTCTACCTAAGAAACTGTGTTCATCACCAGTTTTTTCACCTCTCGAATTAAACAATATCTCTCATTTCTTAAATACATATAAAAACTTGCATTTACATAACAATTCTTGCATTGGCGTTTGGCGTATTGCCTTTCAACATCAGGAAGACGCCTCAAAGTGCTTCAAAGGATTGAGGGTCAAAGGTTGGAAAACATAACATCATTCATTCTGGATGTTTCAAGGAATTTCTGTAAAATGTAGTGACTCTATATTTTGTGGGTGAACACGCCAGCCAATAAGTGTGCAGTAATACCCCAAGTGTTGGCCAGGACATTGAGAGACATTCCCTTCTCTCTTCGATATAAAATAAAATATTTTTTAAAAAGTAGAGTGCTTTAAACTTGGGAAAGGTAAAATATTCCTGGCCAACAATCCTTCAGATTAATTGGTCAGAATTAGTCACAGCTATGGCTCTTTGCTGGAGTAAATTGCCGGCATATTTGTCTGCCACCAACAGTCACTGCACTTGACAGTGATTACTTGTGAAGCTCTTAGAGATATTTTGATGAAGGACGGTGAGATAAAAGTTCTTTCTTCTTTCTACAGTCGGGGGAGGAGCAGGGCAGGGATTTTAAACAATTTTTCATAAGTGTTTTCAATAAAGAAACTGTCAATCTCATTTCCATTCCTATAATCGGAGGGATAGGGATGTATTTAAGTTCGCAGAGAAATTAGTGGTTAGCACCGAAATGATCAGTATGAAACTGGAAGCACTTGAATATTCATAAGTTGATGGGCCCAGATGGAATGGATCCAAGGGTGTTTGAAGTGAACAAGGGCAAAAAGCAAGGGAACCGGGCCAGAAATGTTTCTCTACTTACTGAAGACAGGGGTGGTAGCAAAAGATGAGACGAAAGATAATCCTGTTTAAAAAAAAAGGTCATTGCATGATTCTTGGAATTACCGACTCGAAACCCTGACAGATTATAATGGGAAAAAAATATTATACTATAATCAATTGAAATGCAGGCCCATTTAATGTGAGCGAATTAATTACGTTCTAAGCCAAGATTGTTTTCAATAGACAGGTCATGTGGCTTTAACAAATGTACTCTATTTCTTTTGAAGATGGCACACAGGTGATGGATGACGGTGGCAAGGCCATCGTTATATCTATTGACTTTCCAAAGGTATTTGAGGTGGCTTAAAGAAGAAGTGTGACAAGAGAAATATCCCCAAGGAAACAAAAGTGACAAGTTGGCTGATAGATATTGAATTGGTTAAATAACAGGAAACAATCGAAGGTTGGAGACTCAAATGCTGACAGATTTAAACTCATCAGAGGACTGTGCTTATTTACCAATGATCTTGAGGATATTGTAAGTGCAGTAGAATATCTACCAATTACAAATGAGATTCAAGTTGGATGGAAAGTAACATTTTCTGAGGAAAGCAATCTTGAAAGAAAGCGAATCTTGAAGCTGTGATAAGGCATTATATCAAATGCAAGGATTATTATTATTATTATTATTATTGACATTCAGAGACTTGGCCGTTGATCAAGATAATCCTTGATGTTGAGAAATCCTGGAATGGATGCTGGTGCCACATTGGTGCTTAAGATAACTCCTTCACCTCGAATTTGTCAACCGGTACACTGCTTGTGAACTCGGAGACAGTCATTTATCTTAAGCGATATTTACACAATTGGAGTATTCATAAAGGAGGCCAATCTCTACACAGCCGATGTCCCCGCGTACAGCCGTAAAGTGAAAGACTAATTTAATTCGAGAGATTGTCGGCCAAAAGAGACTGGGAGAAACTGCCTTCTCCAATAGAGTCCTTTACCATCCACCGATCAGTTTAAAGTCTTTTTCGAAGCACGGCACCTCCATCAACGCAGCACAACCCCTGCACTGCAGTGTCAGCCCAGATTTGTGAGTTCAAGGTCCCGAGGTGGGAGCTTGACCCCACGGCCTTCTGACTCGGAGGCGCGAGTACTACTGACTGAGCAAAGCTAACACACGAATAGAAGCACAAATTCACTTTAGGGGAATAGGACTGAATCATCCCACCACAGTGCAATACTTTCACCAGCTGTGCATAGAACATCCTAATGTTTGAAATCATGCAGAGCAGCACCTAATCCTGATAAAATATATCACGAGTTCACCAGAAATGTTGGGCTTAACCTCCATAGCCATCATTTAAATAGTATTTATATTGAACCTCGAAAAAACCCTTTGGTTAAAATAATTTATTATTTCATTACCCGTAACGCGCCACTGCAGTTGACAATGTTCAGTGTTCTGACTCATGAAAATAAAATAAAATAAATTGTGAGGAGCTTTATATACCTTGGGTTTGGGATTACGAAACTATAAAATTGTATTTCTCAGTCAGACTGGGTTACCTGTGAGCATCTGTCAGCTCAAAAGACTCAAAATTCCACTTGGTCTTAGCCTGTAGAAATCATTGTGTCCTAACATTTCTACAGTGGGTCATAATAATATTTAATAATAATAATAATCCTTGCATTTGGTGTAGTGCCTTATCACATCGTTGAGACCTCTTATTGAAAGGCTTTCATTTGGTTTAAACAGCCACAGGACGAATCATTCATAACAGAATGCGCTGTTAGCTTTTGGTCTCATCTTACATTTTGCAGTCAAATAACTTAAAAACGCTGTTATTAATTAATTGAAGGTGGGAAGTGAGAGAGAGAGAGAATATCTCACATTCTGTGCTGGAGGTTGGGGCTTAAAACACATTCAAGTGCATAAAGCAGTCGTAAAGAGATTTTTTTTTCACATTACATGATATTAAATGCTCTTCAATTGGTCGTACACTTTGCCAGGTCCTGTGAGCCCTGGGCGGCTGAGAGCCAGAGCAGGGCTGTGTGGGGGGAGTGTTGTGCAGCTGAGAAGCCACAGGAGAGGAGAGGAGAGGTTGAGCAACATTGTCTACAACAGAGAGCTAATCAAAACCTCCCCCCAACAGACACACACCCAAAACCGTGTGACTGCCTGAACCAAACTCAGACCCACTCCAGGACAGAGAACAGAAAGCAATCCCTTTCAGGCAGGAAAGGAGGGAGGGAGGGAGGGAGGGAAGGAGGGAGGGGAGTTGGAGATTCCAGGAATCCAGGAATTGTCAACCCTTTGGATGGATGGATGGATGGGGAGCAGCTCTGGATGTGAGTAGCACTGACATCTTTCCTAACACAGTGGGCTGACAGCAGCCAGAGGCTGGAGAAGGCAGATCTTGTGTGTGTGATTGTGTGGACATGAATGTATTCACTCTGGACTGAACTTGCTTTGGCTTCATTGTCTGGAGGTCGGTTGAGGGAGGAACAGTATTAAGAGTAATACCTGAATCAGCAAGGCAACGATTATCTTACTCAATAGATTGGTGACTGGCTGACAAGATTGTGGGAGTGGGGAGGGGAGGGAGTGTGGGTGGGGGGTGGGGGAGACGATAGGATTTGAAGAAAGAAAAAGGAGAGAGGTGGGGTGGGGGGAGAGAGGGAGAGAGAGAAGGAGGAGGAGAGAAGGAAGAGTCAGGGAAGCACTGACTGAGGAAGAGGTGTGGTGGAGTGCGACTCAAGGAATCATCTACAGAAGAAAGAAAGGGAAAAAGAGGCAACAAAAAATAACAATAATAATACTACCAATAATATATTTTAGAGAAAGAGAGAGATCTGAATGGAAGAGGAGAAGATCGAAGGTTGTGAAAGGGGAAGAACGAAATGAGGTTTCAAAAGCAAAGGAAGAAAAAAGAGAGAAAGTGAAAGAGAGAGAGAGAGAGAGAAATCAAATCAGGAAATAAAAAGCAGAAACTAACTGGGAATCATCCAATGCTGTAAGTAAGAGGCTCAACGATTGAAATCTCTGCTTAGTTGTATATCTATTAAAAATATGTTATTATTATTATTATATTGAAAAAAACATGAATCGAGGAACTGAGATTTTCCAGTTCCTCCATTAACTGGGAATGAGTGAATAAAGGAAAAGATTTACAGTACAGGACGCAGAAGAGAGCGACAGAGAGACAGAGAGAGAGAGAGAGAGAGAGAGAGATTGGAAAAAAAAACAAATGGTTATTATGTTTGATTTTTTTTGTATTTATTTAACAAAAAAAAAGCGATTCAAAACGATCCTCAAAAAAGTAGACAGACAGACAGACAGACAGACAGGAGATATTAGAGGACAGACTTGTGGGAAGTCAAGAGTGTAGGGAGAAAGTCTATTAACTCAACAGCAAAGAAATCAACAACAACAACAAGAACATCAACAGCCCACGTTGGCTGACACTCTGCCCATCTACACTGTCCCCCTTGTGCTGGGACCCTGGTGGGGTGGGGGGGTGGTGGTGGGGGGGGTGGGGTGGGGTGGGGTGGGGGGTGGGGGGGTGGGGTGGGGTGGGGGGGGGGGGGTGGGGTGGGGTGGGTGGGGTGGGGGGGGTGGGGTGGGGTGGGGGGGGGGGGTGGGGGGTGACTCAAGGTGTCCACTGTCAGAGGCGAACCAACACCAAGTCAGTCAGTCGCTGTCCTTTCAGCACCTGATCCACACAGCTCTTCACTGCAAAGCCGAGCAAAGGGAATGGATGTGTGTGTGTGTGTGTGTGTGTGTGTGTATGAATGAATGAATGAATGAATGAATGTGCCTGAACTCGCTCTCAAACTCCCCCCCAACCATTGCCAGCCGCATCCTCACGGGGAGCAAGGAACTCACCCAACAATGTGCAAGAGGCGCCTTTCAACGGAGTGTTCGTTTTGTGTTAAAGTGCATTTCATCCTCTTGTGATGCAGTGAACCCGGTGTCTGCACCGCGAGGCTCAGAACAGGGTCTGTACCCACAGCATGCTGGGTTTAACAGCTTCGGATACAGAACCATGAACACCTCCCTGCGGTTCACCCTCTCCAACTTCCCTTTGATCGCACATCTGAGGAGATTGAACCTGTCCCTCGACCGCACAGACTCTTCCTTGCACACGAGCCTGGGGGACCTGGAGAGCCTTCTGCTAACCATCCGGGAACCAGCTACCATTGCTCTGACTGTCATGTATACCATATCTTTTGTGGTTGGCTTCGTTGGCAACGCTATGTCTATCAAAGTGCTGACCAGGAAACGAAACAACAGGATGCCTGGGGTAAGTGCCACCAGGAGTCTGCTGATCAACCTGGCTGTTTGTGATCTCATGGTGGTCTGCGTGTGTATGCCCACCACCCTGGGCTACCAGATCTACAAAGCCTGGATATACGGTGACTTTATGTGTAGAGCGGTGCCCTTCACCCAGGCTGTCTCAGTCTCCGCCAGTGTTCTCAGTATCACCGTCATAAGCGTTAACCGGTATTACAATGTCCACAACCCGCTGAATGCCAGGTCTTTCTTTACTTGGAGAAAAATATTCTGGACCATCTGTGTGGTGTGGCTGGTGTCGTCTGGCATCTGTATGCCTCTCATCTTCATGAACAAGCTGAAAGTGAGCGACGCTACATTTGGGATTCCCTTCTGCAGTGAAGTCTGGCCTCAGGTCAGGTTGAAGCAGGCTTACAATTTCCTACTCTTTTGTGCCCTCTACGGCTTGCCTGTGCTCTTCAATCTAGTCATCTGCTTCCTGACATGGCGAAGACTGTGGAGCACCTCCGGTCACTTCAAGGAATGTGACTCCAGCAACCAGGCCCTCCCAGTCTCCCGGCTGAAAATTCGCAAAAAGATAGCGAAAATGGTGGTGGCTTTGGTGATTCTATTCGCTCTGTCTTGGTTGCCTTTCTATGTCGTGGACATCTGGTTAGATTTCAACACCGAAGAGCCTTCAAAGGGCGATGAAGCATCTTCAGAATGGATCATGATTCTCAGGCCTTTCGCCCAGTGGCTTGGTCTCACTAATTCTTCCCTCAATCCAATTTGTTATTGCTTTGTTGGGGATCTGTACAGGTCAGCCAAGGAAATAAAAAGCAAATACAGAAGAACACTGATTTCACTCTTTAACTACTCTCTGTCTGATGGTTCCTCAAGGTCATCCATACCCAAACTGTTTGCCTACAAAGAATCCTGTCAAATATCTGCCAAGGAATTAAATTGTACTCAGTCAAAGCAGAAAAGGGTTAAAGACTGCAACTCCCCTCCTGCTCTCTGTGAGACATCATTGAGTACTTGCCATCCCATTCCAATACAAGCCTCCAAACAGGAGGCACAGAACAAGTAAACTGTGTTCTATGTGTAGAAGTTGGCTAATGTTGTGTTAATGTTTTCAATCCTATCAGATTGGTGGTCAACTAATTCTTCACCATCAATCTTAATTGGGTTACAATGTCAAAACCAACCCAGGTGAGAGGAGGTGGTAACGTTGAAACTGCTTGGTTGAAACCCACGTACCTTCTCTTAAGACCAAAGATGGTGACAAGTGAAAATATAGCATTCATCTCTGGCAAAATTAGGATTTTCATAATTATAGTTATAACCAACCACCAAAAGATATTTGTAATTGGGCCACTTGATCTCTATAGCAAGGAGAATATTAACTACTATATCAAGTTCACCGTCTTCTCTTGTTAGATTCAGTCTTAATTCACAAGTTGGTGATCCAAGAAATTTATGTTAAACTCAAACACTAGTGATTAGTTAAATGCACAGATCTTGAGGGGTCAAAACGCTTTTATTATCTGTTTCTTATCACAGTGAACGCTCTTTATTGCCTTGTTCACTCACTGAAATATTGAGTGTCACACTCGAGTGTATGACTATAATGATAGCTTTGACACCGAGCAGTTAGACATTGCAGTCGTTCTCAAAATAGCTGAATGTTTTCTCTAAGGAAATCATTATTAACATAAATGTGATCTTTGGAGAAAACAAACTAAAATGTGAAGGTAAAGCATAAATAATTATCTCACTCAGGGTTGGTTTAATTTTTCCCCCTACAATGGAACATTTAGACTATTGCATCTAGTTTTGTAGGGTGAGCTATGAGACAGCAATCAAATGGATATCAAGTCCCTGACAATTAATTTCCTGTGGACATCAAGAGTTGGAGAAGAATTCTTATAATATATAAATATTATATTATAAATGGGAAGTGCAAATAGAACCTACTGTTGTGCGTAATGCCAAAAAGTATCCAAGATGGCACCTCAAGTGAAAAGAATTGGGTTTAGAAGTCACCCAACCTGACTCAACCAAATAGAACAACAATAACAACTTGCATTTATATAGCGCCCTTCACGGGGGGTAGCTTCCCAGAGCGCTCAAGAACAATACACATCGTAGGGTGTTTATTGTCCGTTCACTTTATTTGAATTAATTCACCTTTTTAATCAAAATAATGTTTTCTTTGATCCTTGAACCTATACAAAATACTTTAGAAAATAAATTCTGTTCACTTGGCTTAAGGGATTCTTTTGAATACCTTATAATTTGGGTGAATTCCAATGATCAAGTCTGTCATTTTAAGATTAACAAGTTATAATTTCAAAAGTGTTCACTAAGATATAGCTAATGACAGTACATGCGTATAAACTGAATGTTAAAGTTGGGTACAAAGTCATTTTATTTTAATTGGCTGTCTGATTATTATTTTTTTTACATCTCCATTTTGCCAATGCTGGATGTAATATATTTAGAAAGTTCAATATTTATCTGGTTTTATTTTGCCTTTCAGCAATTTCGCTCTTGATGTGGACAGCAGGGTGAAAACAGATGCCAAGTTTTGTGTTTGGAATGTTAGTTGCTGATCCCATTTGTTATTTATAATCTTCATTCCTAACACGTCTTAGAGTGATACTGACAAACTATTACCTCCACACCAGCATGCTGTTCCATTAGCCATCAATAAGGATTGATAATCCATATGTGGGGAGTACAAATTTAACGGATATGGCGGGGGAGTAGACAGTTGGAATTGGAGTGGTTATATACTTAAGATGTGCAATATGTCCTACATTCCTAAGGTCCTTTTGTTTGATAAAACTTTGACAGTAGCCCTCTAATTGCCATTGTTAATGCTTGACCTAAAGATACATTGGGTTCCCCTTCAGACCTGAAGATGGATTGATTGACTGAAGGACGGGTTTCCTGTTGTAAATCCAACCAATGCTCTATGGTAACCAACATATTCAATGCATGTCTGTCAAGGTGACTTGGAGCTCACATGAGCAATTATAGTGCAGACCCTTCTGATAAAGCTGTGTCCACATTGGTATACCCACATTGGGTATAAATCACATTGCCTCACAAGCAATATCTGACCAAGCGACAATTCACAAACATTTACAGTCGAAGTCTGAACTAAATGAAAGTGGCATTTGAGGTCACTCGTGAATGTAGTCAGCACCAAATTTCTGCTGGAGGACATTTGTGATTTCACGCTTTGTGGCCAACATGCCACCCTAAAACCCCATGAGTTCAAGCATTGGAAAACAATTCCCCTTTTTTTAATTGACTTTGATTGAAAGTAACCCAAATGGTCAAAGAAGTGACACAAAGAATAAAGAATGAGGAGGTTAGACAGCAGGGCATTGTTGGAATGTGTGATTCTTTGCCAACAACCCCTGTTGAGGCAGAGTCCACAGATTATTTGAAAAGGGAAATAGATAGATGCTTGAGAAGGAAGAATAATTAAAAGGTATTAGAAGTGAGCAAGAGATTGATGTTAGATTAGATAGCAAACACCAGCACAGACTGGATGTTTTTTTTCTTTCTACGCTGTAATATTTTATGGTTTCACAGTTGCACAGTTGATCACAACAATCCTCCTACATCTCGATGAAAGAAGCTTTCATCAGTGGCTCAGTTTGAAAAAAAACCTAACAATAATTGATGTGGCCTCTCATCTCATTCCGAATGCGAATGGCAATGGCACTCCCACTTAAAGGCAATGTTATTTCATTTGGAGAACTGAACTCTTGATAAATTCTAATTAAGTTGTAACTCTAGATCATTTCATGTCCGAAGCACCCCTCCCCGCGCCCCCACCCCTTCTACCAGTAGAATAACACTGTAGTTAGCTATGCAAGTGATTATCATTCCTCACAGATAACACATTCGCCACTGTTTAAAATGAATAGATTTGAATGGCTCAAACAGCGTAATAGTGAACTTGGCACCGCTCCCAATCATTGAACCAAGTTTATTGAAACAGAATATCAAATAGATTTATTGGACCTGCACCCAACTGTCCTTTCAGTGGTCTGCAAACCTGAACCTAAATGATTGGCAGATTTAGTCATTTTACACTTAGTTGCACATTCAGCAAAGTGGATTGGGAGACATTATATTTGCTAGACTTTAGTCCATTCTGCATGTTAATTGATTCTCGACACTCACACTTTACAGTTTACAGTGCCATTGCTAGCTCCACTTCACTGCACATTGAGTGCAAAAAGGTTTTTATCAACAGCCTTAAATAAAACAGTGCCAGGAATCAATTGTTAGTTAGTTTAGGAACACAGGAAAGCACAGAATAAGAGGAGGCCATTCAGCCCATCGAGCTTGTTGTACCAGTTCATTTGATATTGGCATTTTGTTTAAACCCAATGTTCTGCCCTTTCACCAAAACCTTTAATACCTGTTCTGCCCAAGTCTCCGTCTATCTCTCTTTTAAACATCCTTGTTGATTCTATCTCTGCGGCTTTAAGGGCAGTGTATTCACAATACCAGCCATGAAACCAACATCTTGTATGTTTTTCTGCCATTTAATTGTCATTTTCCATAAAGTATTGCTTATCACCTTCTGATTTCCCCTCACTGTGATACAATAAGTTTTCAGCTGTTTAGGTATTAAGTTAAAAAAAAGTACATTATTCAGAACAGTGATGGTCAAGATGTACTTAATCCTCACTGTTTTTTCATGCATCTGAAAACACTATCATCACAGGCACCGGCATTGCAGTCAATTGTGAGTAAAAGTAACAGTGAAATGTACATTCACTTGACAGACATTCTTTGGACAGGAACAGAAATATCTTTTGTCCATGTCGATCCTAAGTGGCTGTTACAAGCCAACACAAATAGGCACATAATTGTCTTTTATTGATATGGATTCTCACTGTAGAAGATTGACAATCAGTGTTAATATACATTGCAAACCACTGTGCAGCTCTATAATCTTTCATAATATAATCTTACATATTATAAGGGTTATTATAATACGCACGTGCATACAGATAGGTCTGAGACAATTACATTCTATTGATCAATGCATAGGGTAAAATGAAAGTTTATATATATATATATATATATTTATTAAGCAACCTTTCGAAAGAATGGTGGGTCTTGAGCAATGAACATTGCATCCCTGCACAATTTTGTGGAGTAATAAATCCTGGCTTTATTTCTTTTCTTTCGATCACGGTCTGAGCCTTTGGGATTGCTCACAAAACTTAATGTGTGCTTCGTTATATTTTGTTCAAGCCTGACACAAACCGGCATCACAAATACCAGTGTACATTTACACGTGGCAGGAATGTTTTACGCAAACCGTTGAAACTGGACTAAAAACAGAAGTCGTTGGGAGCGCTCGACAAGTCAGGCAGCATCTATGGAGCGAGGAAAGTGAGTTAACGTTTCAGGTCGATAACCTTTTATCATGACTTGAAATGTTAACTGACTTTATTTTAGCTCCATAGATGCTGCCTGACCTGTTGAGTGATCCCAGCAACTTCGGTTTATTATTTCAGATTCCCAGCATCTGCAGTATTTTTGCCTTTTGTTAAAACTGGATGTTTTACACCCTGTCACTGTTTGTTCATATCGATTTTTTTATCTGACGTACAATTGAAACCGGTCGGTGTAAATAACGCTGTGTGTTCGGTGCTGTTCAATGTCTGTAAGTGATGTGCAAATAAATTAGAAATACTTCTAACTTGGCTTGACCCAAGATTCGGTATTACCTTTCCACGAGTGAATTGTTGTATTTTTCCAGTAAAAATCGCATACAACGTACAAATCGTTGTAAACGAGAACACAAACCATAATCTGACACCTCCTACATAATGTACAAGCATACGTGCATTCATACTATTGCACTCATGTTTGCCTGCATACAAGATCAAAGGCAACATCAATATCATATGTAGATTAGAGTGTTTGGTTAGGCAAACTCTGGACATAACCATTATTAATTTCATAGAATAAATTGGCCTTTTGAAAGGCTGACATAGTGCCTACAGCTCATTTTGAGAGTCACTCTGTTCCCCCCCAATGGCACAC